CCCGCCACCCCCTCGCCCTCACTCCGGGGGCGTTCCTTTACGCCCCACGCCGGGCAGCGCAGCAACAAATGACCAGCGGTCCTCGGCCTGCCTGCCTTTCTCATGGAAATAGTGGTCATTACGCCACGGACCCCACCCCCTCCCTCCCCGGTGGGATGTCTCGCTTCCGTGGCCTTTTCTTTGCCGTAATGTTTTATGGCTTCGCCACCGGAGAGCGCCTGGAAGGGGCAGCAGCAGGGGTGGGGCAGCAGGGCAAGGGCAGCCCCCCGCCCCGCCCCGCCCCGCTCGGAGGCTGCGGCTGCCGCTGGACGCCGTCGTCGTCGTCGTGTCGCCTTTGCGGTGTGGCGGCGACTCTGCCACGTCCAGCGGCGTCCGGGGGCGAAACAGGCCAGGGGCGGGACGGCGGGGGCAGCTGGGCGGGCCTAGCGCGGCTCTGCAGCTGCTGGTGCTGCTGGTGCTGCTGCTGCTGCTACTGCTGCTGCTGCTGCTGCTGCTGCTGCTGCTGCTGCTGCTGCTGCTGCTACTGAATATGTCAGGACTATTGTCTCGGCGCTCTAATTGTGATGTATGCCCGACTTGTGCTTTAGCTTGCTCCGCCCGGACGGACTGGGGGAGCGTAAAGGGATTGGAGGGGAGGGGGGAGCGGTAGGGATTCTCTCTCTCTCTCTCTCTCTCTCTCTCTCTCTCTCTCTCACACACACACAATTTTTTTCAACAGTGTGTAACGGTGTATTTCACTGTTATAGTGAACCCTGTTTACACACCGTCTCTTTGTGAAATCCGCCTTTACGGCGAATGTTGTGAGATTCGCCGTAAGCTCTTACTGGTGCAATCAGTTGCAAGGTCCGAGCAGGAACTGGAACCGAGGCTGGAGCGTCGGAATCTATTGCGCTTCACTTCCACCCTTACTCGCTTCCATGTTGTTGCTGCTGCTGCTGCTGCTGTTGTTGTTTGTTTCCGGTATGTATGCCGGTGTACCGATGCAGCATTCTGTGAGTTCTGCTGGTAATATATGCAGAAGCAAAACCACCAATAATTGATCGAGTAAATGGACGGCGATACACTGAGTATAGCCCGGGACAAGTCTCGTCCTCACGAATGCGCGTTTCTAAGCGTATTCCTTGCGGGGTCAAGATTGTACCCTTTTTATCGTGACACGACTTGTGCGTGCCCAGAGATGTAACATTTTCTGATACAAAAGTGACCTTTCGATTTTGCGTGCAGCAAAGGGCATCAATTTTATGAGAATCTAACTTGAAAAATATGTCAACTGCCCCCAGTTTCGTTATTATTACTTCGCCGTTGCTCTAGAAAACTTGTAATAAGCGTATTGCGTATGTTTCATTTTGCATCCCGACAAGCGCGGTTGCAGGATATTCGTGTTCTCGTGCTACAGTGACACAGTGAGGAGCAAGGGGTAAAGAGAGGGGAGGGGGGTCTCTGGCCTACATCCCCTTTATGATCACCCGTATCAAACGGCACGGTCTGGACGCCACCGACTTTTGGGGTAGCGATAAAATGCTATAGGGGACGACGATCGTCAACATGATCGGTGACTCTCTCGCCCCGAAGTGTGTGGGGGGACTTACACCCCCCACCCCTCCCTTTCCCCCTCAATCTATTCCACTTCCCCAGAGCTGCTCCTTCCCAGGGGCGACTCACGCCAGCATCGCGACCTGAGGACGCGGGAAGGGAAAGGGACTGTCGCAGGAAAAAGAGTCAACAACTCTTGTTGACTGCGACTACAGTGCTAAATGTTAACGGTTCTCTGCGACAGGTGTCTGGCGGTCACGCTTAGCGCCTCTAAAACGACCCCATAACGGGCTCGTTTAAAGTAAATCTTTGTCGCGTAGTCGACTCTTCGTTTAGGATGGGACTGCACAAAACCAAAACCGATGTCTCAAAGATTGGCCACGCTTTGCATTGTAGACACCCTCAGCAGCACGGCGGTGGCGGCGGAGAGGGGTGCGCAGACACGGCTGGGGGGTTTGTTTACACGACGAGGAGGCGGTGTAGTCAGAACTCGGCTGGAGTGGGGTTGAGTGAGGGGGCGGGGGCAAAAAACAGTCGCAAGCAAGGGCGCTTCATACGTTGTGGAAGTGGCCCGTTCAGCTGCAAGTTCGGGTACGGAGGGCCCTATCATATCCTTTCGAGCAGCACGAGAATAGAGCTCTCTCTCTCTCTC